CCCAGATACCAGAACGACGGCCAGTCTCGTCAGGTTAAGGACCATTGGCGGTCCGGATCTGGCCGTAGTTTGAGGAACCTTAGATTAAGCGATTATTATGTCTGTTATTATTTTATATTAAAACAAAATTATCTAAATTAGATGATAGATCTTCCATGACTCCATGACCAATCAATGAACGCTTAGTTTTAGAATAGACTTATTATCAGAAGCAGAGGCCTATTTTTCTACGTTTAAATTTCGCATATTTGTACTAATAAAGACTAATTCTAGACAATCTTTTAACACCAAAACGTACTTATGTTTGATAGAGAGAAAAAAAAAAGTTCTCACATAACATTAGCAATTATTTCTTTAGCTTACAACATACATCACCAAAAATATTTTTTTCAAAGTAGTGTTAATTTTACAATTAAAAATACAGGCCTAAGTGTTTTGCTTTTGTTTAAGGCCAGAAATGGCTGTCAATGTTCAGCATAGGATTCGTAAATTGGTGCATATTTAAATAATTGTAATACTAAATCGTCTTTTTTTTATATTGATGCTGCTAAAAATCGCCAAAGGTTGGTTTGGAGTGTTATTATAACGCTAGCAATGTCAATTACAGACTACGTAGTTTCTTACAAGTTACATTGTTTAGTAAACGGATTATAAACTTTCACCAGTCGTTGATAAATAAACTATGAATCACTCCTTTCGTCTGTTATTTTTAACTGACTTTGTGTGTGTGAGCGCGCGCGCGCGTGTGTGTGGCTAATACTACTCTTAAAATATTAGGAAATAGGCGAAAAAAATATGGGAAAGTCTGGAAAAAAGGACGCAACAAAACAACCAACGTTTCGCCGAGAAGCCTTCTTCGGTGAACAAAGAACAATAAAAAATAATACAAAATAAAAATAAACGATAAGGCTCAACGCAGTATCCGAGAGAACAGCAAGAGGAACATTTTTATATTTGGTTGCATCTTTTTTCCAGTTTTCCCATACTTTGTTTCGGTCATTTCTTTTTACCTAATCTGATTATAGTCTCTCCCCTTATTTCGGTTCTAAAATATTAATAATGTATAAAATGTCATATTTTAAACCAGTTCAAGTATTTTCAAAAACTCTAAATAATGGAGTTCTTTGCCAAGGATGCATGCAAACCCTATGGGTGTAGGGTGCTTAAGAAAAATCAGATTTTTATTTCCATTTTTTTTTTTAGCCGAAGATGTTTTTGCGTTGAGGTTCTTTTGCTAGTTATTTGTACTGGTGCCTTAAAAAATTGTTTCTAGTAAGTTGATTAAAGAAGGAAAACTACCATAACTGATTTTTTTTCCTCATATTTTTAATTATAAAAAAAATAATTAAGATAGATCTACCTCTTTTCAGGAAGGAAAAAAAAGTGGGTGGGGGAGGGGGGGGCGGCGACGTGTTAAAAGATATTTAAAAAAAGGCGCATAACAAGAGNCTTCAAAGATTTAAGAAAAAGAAATACAGTATTAGGGGTCGTTCGCATATTACGTTACGTCACGCTCAGGGGGGGGGGGGTTAGATAATTTGTGACGGGGGAGGGGGTGGGTGTCAAAAATTGTCACGTGACAAAAACTTGCAATCTAAAATTTTCAAATTTTGAAAAATATTTATTCAATTGATTTTAAAATCATTATTTTGAGGTCGAAATTAACTCAGGTAAACTCAGAAGCCACACCTTCTGCGCATATCGAAAAAAATGACGCAAAAACATTGTGGGATGATTTCGTTGTTTTATGTCACAGTTTTCTAATAATACTACATCTTAATCCATTATATGAAAATGTTAAAGAATAAAATTGTTAAAGTATAAAATAAAAACGTAGTTCAGTTATGAGTTATGAAAATTTTATGAATGTTTGGAATTTTTTTAGGGTGACGTGACACTAAAAAAAGGGGAGGGGGTAAAGAATTGTGACGAGGGCAGCGGGGTCTGAAAATGTCATTTTTTGCGTGACGAAATTTGCGAACGACCCCTTAAGCTGATCAAAATATATACGGTATAGAAATAGTTATTTTTGTTGCTATAAACTACATTTTAAAGTTGGATAACTCAGAGAGATTTCTACGGTTGTTGCCCTTTATTTCTCCGTTAGCCCTAATACTAATAATCAAATAAATAATTCCGTTAAGCAAGAATTGCATTTCTTGATTACTAATTATTAAAGGTGACATACTTGATTGTATATTTTTTGTCGGTAAAAGTTACATGGATAATTGAAGTTTAGATAAGTGACGAATTTATTGAAATATATTTGTATTTGTAGACTGAAGACGTATAATTTGTTTAGATCAATATCGATCCGCGTGATTTAACCAATTTAAAAAAAAAAAAAAAAAAAAAAAAAAAAAAAAATTTTTGGGAAAAAAAAAAAAAAAAAGAAAAAGTATTTTGGTAGAAAAATATAATATTAATTTTAGTTAGAGGGGAAAAAATCAGGTGTTTAAAAAAAAAAAAGAAAGAAAGGAAGTGTCCCGTCAAAATGTTTTGGCTAGTGGAAGAGGGAGTGGCCCATTGTATAGTTATGTTTCAAACCTGAGATTGTTATTTGTTAATTCACTCGCCGAAAATTGCTCATGGCCATTTTAGCCATCGGATTAGTGCTGTGGATGACGCAATCTGTGTGTGCGCAGATGACAGATCAGACCGATCCTGGATGGAATATGTTCTTGTGCAGGGGATAGATGGGGTCATTTCTGGCACTGAGTTCACCTGGGCTTTCCTGGCTTGTCTTTTGTGTCCGAGTAAATGTCAAACGCTTTCAAGGATGCTTTAAGCGTGTCTTTACTTTAAACGTCTCTCCTGGCCCCCGAGCAAACCACGTGCTATGCTTGAGTTCACCAAAACATATTCTATCGGGCAAGCGGTCGTCTGACATTCTCGCAACATGTCCCACCCAGCCAAGCAATATGTCCACTGCACTTAATAAGATGTAGGCCCCTATATGTTGAAGAGACCTGCGTGTGTGAGTACCTCAGTGTCTGGGATCTTGTTCTGTCAGACCTGATTGTGTGAGTACCTCAGTGTCTGGGATCTTGTCCTGTCAGACCTGATTGTGTGAGTACCTCAGTGTCTGGAATCTTGTTCTGTCAGACCTGCTTGTGTCAGTACCTCAGCGTCTGGGATCTTGTCCTGTCAGACCTGATTGTGTGAGTACCTCAGTGTCTGGGATCTTATCCTGTCAGACCTGATTGTGTGAGTACCTCAGTGTCTGGGATCTTGTCCTGTCATTTGATGTTGATGATTTTTCCCTGGCTCATCGTGTGAGAGCGGTCTAGCTTCCTAGTCGAGCATGGCGCTGCCAGAATGTCCATGTTTCACGTGCATATCGTAGTAGCATAGGGAGCCTTGTAATATTTTATTTTGGTTTGGGTGCTGATGCCTCTCCTTGTCCATACATTGGTAGACATTTTTTTCCGAATTTAGCACTGTCTCTTGCAAGGTTCATCTCATCGTAGATGGCTACACTCCAGGACAGTGTGCTACCAAGGTAAGAGAAGCTCTTAACCCCTTTAAGCCTTTCGCCATGGACTTGGATGTTGGGCTCGATGTAAGGTTTTCGTGGAGCTGGTTGGTACAGGGCCTCAGAATTCTTTGCGTTAATGGTAAGACCAAAGTTGGTGCAGGCTTCCGAGAAGTTTTTCCAACACTGCGTTGCTTATCGGCCCCTGATTCAGCGTTAAGGGCACAGTCGTCGGTTTACAGAAAGTTCCTGACGATGTCTGTCATGACTTTGGATTTAGCGTCTAAGTCTCCTGAGGTTACCAGTTCGGTATCTGATGCCAATTCTAATGTCTCCCTGCACTGAAAAGGGGCATGACCCATTATATAATTATAGGTTTCAAATCTTGGATTGTTGTTTAAATGATTTAAAATATCAAAGTAAATAATTGTCACTGCCTCTTTTTGTATCCATCGTTTGAATCATTTCTGTGTAGTTGAGCATTCAGTTACAGAAAAAAAAATGAGAGTATTGGTGTTTCTTTATGATAAATCACAGATTTCAAAGGTTATCTAAGTGATTGCTTTCAAGAACCGGGTACATTACTTTCAGAGTCATCCATATTTTTTACTTCTACGCATTGCTTTTAGCCATTTAAATGGATTTTAACAAAACTGTTACCACGCTCTGTTTGTTTCACAGTGACTTTGCCAGTGGCGTAGCTGTGGGGGGGGGGGGGGGGGGGGGGGGGGGGGGGGGGGGAGGGGTGTGTGTGCACCGGGTGACACCAACTCTAGTTACGCCACTGGCCTTGGCTAATGTATTCCGTTTTCTTTTTGCATCAAAACTAGTTAGCATTCATTAATACTATAAATTATAAATAAAAATTGTATTTTAATAAAAAAAATTAAATTTTATGAAATGTACAGTAATTTATATGAGATGAGCTTGTTACTAGAACTCAAGCCAGTCTCCTAACATGCTCACAATCAGGTAAACACAGGACACGGAGCTAGGAAAACACAGAACTAGAAAAACATAAGACCAGGCAAACACAGGACTAGGAAAACACAATACTAACTAGGCAAACACAGGACTAGGAAAACATAAGGCTAGGCAAACACAGAACTAGAAAAAATATAAACAGAACTAGAAATAATAGAAAAATATAAGTCTAGGAAAACACAGGACTAGAAAAACACAAAACCAGGCACACACAAAACAAAGAAATTTCTAAACACAGAGCTAGGAAAACATGAGAGACATGACTAGGAAAACACATGACTAGGTAAACACAGGACTAGGCAAACACAAGACTAGGCGAACACAAAACCAGGCACACACAAAACAAAGAAATTTCTAAACACAGAGCTAGGAAAACATGAGAGACATGACTAGGAAAACACATGACTAGGTAAACACAGGACTAGGCAAACACAAGACTAGGCGAACACAAAACCAGGCAAACAGAAGACAAATGAATTTCTAAACACAGAACTAGGAAAACATGAGACACAGGACTAGGTAAACAAAAGACTAATAAATCATCTGGATATTCTAATTTATTCTTGATCCGTATAAGGAACAAATGATTCAAATATGTTTTTCAAACAATTCCAAAAACTAGTTCTTAATGGTAACAATGAATTCTCAGCCAACACTAAGGACACCAGTACTTGGAGACTTCCATGTCGCTTTATTCTTACGTAAAGGATGCAGGACTTTTCCTTTGATTTAGTTCATAAGGCTTCCAAAGGAAATCAAGGAGCAATGAATTTAAAAGATTTCAGAATACAAGGCTGCATGTGTCAAGCAATCAGCTTTTTTACAAGGCTGCATGTGTCAAGCAATCAGCTCTTTTACAAGGCTGCATGTGTCAAGCAATCAGCTCTTTTACAAGGCTGCATGTGTCAAGCAATCAGCTCTTTTCAGTCAACATTTTACTAAGATCTGCTTCTATTTCTCTGGGTCTTTGTTCATTTTTCTGATCAGTATCATCCACAGATGTGATGTCACTGTCAGACTTAGTTGAAGCAGAGTGTTTGAGAGACTGGCTTCCCATTTGATTAATTTCACCGTCCAAAGCAGCATTATCTGAATCCATTGCCTGAGTGTTGCGCTCATCTGATTCTTCACCCAAAAGATCCTCAAAGGACAAGGACCGCTCACTGTTGGATGAACTTGTAAACAGCAGACTCAGTTTTGATGCTAAAGGCTTTTCACTTAGCAGTGACATAAGTCGAGGTTCTGGGCACTCAGCAGAGGAAGAAAATGATTCAATTTTTAATGCTGCATCCGCCATGGCGCTTGTTAAAATCTCTAACTGTTTGACTCCGATGTTCTGGCAGATGTTCAGGCTCACACACAGAGGATTTTCTATGCACACAGGACGGGAGTCAACCGATTTAGAAAATGTTGCTCCCTCCGTGATAGAAATGGATTTGTTTGCAAAATCAAACTTAGAGTAGAACTCAAAGAATCCATGGAGAAGGCTCTCTGGGGAGAAGAAAAACTACAACTGAAAATGGCGAGAGAGTTAATGGAATATTAGCATGGTGTTGAGTGAAAATAACATAATGGAATATTAGCATGGTGTTGAGTGAAAATAACATAATGGAATATTAGCATGGTGTTGAGTGAAAATAACATAATGGAATATTAGCATGGTGTTGAGTGAAAATAACATAATGGAATATTAGCATGGCGTTGAGTGAAAATAACATAATGGAATATTAGCATGGTGTTGAGTGAAAATAACATAATGGAATATTAGCATGGTGTTGAGTGAAAATAACATAATGGAATATTAGCATGGTGTTGAGTGAAAATAACATAATGGAATATTAGCATGGTGTTGAGTGAAAATAACATGATTTTATTAAGGGGCTTTATTAAGGAACAGTTGAGACGACAACACTTGACACATTCGACAACACTTGACACATTAGACAACACTTGACACATTAGACAACACTTGACACATTTGACAACACTTGACACATTCGACAACACTTGACACATTCGACAACACTTGACACATTCGACAACACTTGACACATTCGACAACACTTGACACATTCGACAACACTTGACACATTCGACAACACTTGGCACATTCGCATCTATTGTCTCAGGCCTTCCAACCCCTAGTTCATGTAACCCTTGCTGAGTGGCCCTTGCAACCAGTGAAATATCCGTTAAATACAAGGCGCAGAAACATTGCAAATCCCCTCTGCATACATAGGAGCCAGAATGATCAATACATTGATCATGGGCCCTAAATATACAGAAGAAGAAGATGATGCCATGATCTTTACATGATTTACATCCCTGTTGCAGGCTCATGTGGGTGCAACATGTAGGGATAATATATAATTATCATTACACTTCATCATGAATTGTGAAATAAATGTATTTCCACTTCTAATTCTACTTCTATGTCAACATGAAATGTATTCTAAAATTCACAGTAGTTTCAGCCCTAACAATTCAAATTATGAATCTTCAAGCCTAGCACATTAAAAATTAAGCACCATCTTCTTTCTAAATTTTTCATGATTATAAATAAATAATTTAATACATAGTTAACAAGCTGTTTAGATTTACATACATTGCTAACAATAAGGTCTACATAGCTGATGATAATTTGCATGCAGGATCATAATGATCAGTACACATCCATATGTTATGATACATGCATACTCAAAGACTAGTGCACTTATAATTGAAAAATTTAGGTGAGCTACATACCTTATGATAAGGTGCACTTACCAATATAATGATTAGGTGCACATACATACCGGTACCCAAAGACTGGTGCACTTAAAAATGAAATGATTATTTGCACATACATATCCAATGACTAGGCACACTTACTAATGAAATGATTATATGCACATACACATCCAATGACTAGGCACACTTACAAATGAAATGATTATATGCACATACATACCCAATGACTGTTTATTATTGGACTTGGGGATTAGAGCTGGATTGCTAGGCAGACCAAACGTAATGTTGTCTATACAGAAAGTGTCAGAATGACCTGTTGGGTGAAGTGAACACAGAGAACACATCAATCTGATAGGTATCACTTGATATAAATTCACAGAATTACCAGTGGTCCAACAATTAACCTATGATGATGTATCAATGTTCAAGATGCGTAACAATATATTTGTATGTTGGTACTCTTGATGCGTAACCACAAATTTTTATGTTGGTACTCTTGATGCGTAAAAACATGTATTGAGACTTCATCAAGTTGTGTGTCTTCTCATAACAGATAACCAGATAAAAATGAATAACATATGGCCTGAAGACATACGTGTTTCTCAAATGGCTACAGCATAAAACTTATACGATTATATAACCACTTTGACCCTGTGTCCAACAAATCTGTTTTGTCGATTTCTTAATTTAAAGTAATTATTAAATCTCACACTAATGTTTACACCAGTTGGGTACTATGGAACTTTGTGCAGGAACAGCAGGTTTAATATTTGGTAGGAACTGAAATAAGCTGAGATCATTCTAGATGCTGTGTCCTCCAGCACAACAATCTAAGCACTAGCATTTGGCCCAGAGGGTTTGTTTACTCCAGTTTTAGGCCCAGTGCGAGTGTCAACCATAGTTTTAGGCCCAGCGCGAGTGTCAACCATAGTTTTAGGCCCAGTGCGAGTGTCAACCATAGTTTTATGCCCAGCGCGAGTGTCAACCATAGTTTTAGGCCCAGCGCGAGTGTCAACCATAGTTTTAGGCCCAGAGGGAATGTCAACCATAGTTTTAGGCCCAGTGGGAGTGTCAACCATAGTTTTAGGCCCAGTGGGAGTGTCAACCATAGTTTTAGGCCCAGTGGGAGTGTCAACCATAGTTTTAGGCCCAGTGGGAGTGTCAACCATAGTTTTAGGCCCAGAGGGAGTGTCAACCATAGTTTTAGGCCCAGAGGGAGTGTCAACCATAGTTTTAGGCCCAGAGGGAGTGTCAACCATAGTTTTAGGCCCAGAGGGAGTGTCAACCATAGTTTTAGGCCCAGCGCGAGTGTCAACCATAGTTTTAGGCCCAGCGCGAGTGTCAACCATAGTTTTAGTCCCAGAGGGAGTGTCAAACAGTTTCAGGACCAGAGGGAGTGTCAACCATAGTTTTAGGCCCAGTGCGAGTGTCAAACAGTTTCAGGACCAGAGGGAGTGTCAAACAGTTTCAGGACCAGAGGGAGTGTCAACCATAGTTTTGGGCCTAGAGTGAATGTCAACAACAGTTTTAGGCCCAGAGGGAGTATCAACCCAAGTTATTCATAAAGGGATATGTGATTATTTGATTTCAGCTTGATTTACCCGGACTTATGATACTCAAATATTAAGTACCTTAAGACAAATTATTGATGAGGAAGAAGAATTTTCGGAGGTAAAGGGAGCCAAAATATTGCTGTTTCTTAAATATTTTAAAACAATTTTATGGTGTGATTTTAAAGCGTCCGAAGTGGCTATCAGTTCTGAAGAGTTTCTATTTAAAAAAGTTAAATACAACAGCTTTTTCCAAGGGATTGTGTGAAAAGACTGAAAATCGTTCTCTTCACCTCATCCATATAGCTATTTATAGCTTGATGTTGACAGAACAATATTCCCAAGCTTTTCTGTAATTAAATTTTCATTTCCTTTATGTAAAACCATATGTGGTCAGTGTTTTAAGTAGCTTTGGGTTGAAGAAAGAATTAGATTATAAAACTCTATGTGGTCAATGTTTTGTCAATGTTACATGTAACTTTGTGTTGAAGAAGGAATTAGATTATAAAACCCATGTGGTCAATGTTTTAAGTAACTCTGGCTTAAAGAAAGTCTTGGATTATACGTTGAGAGCCACTTTTGCCCCATTGTAAATGCTACATTATCAATATCAGTGTTGGCATAATGCAAAGATGTAAAAAAAATAAAAATAAAACTAAGTAAATCTAAACAAACCGGCCAGGGCTTGCAGCTGTCTGAATGTGGGCACCACAGGTGAAGGTAGAGTCTGGAGGTAAAATATCAGCATTGTTAGGAGACCAATGGTGGTGGGCTTCTGCTGCTCTCCGCTGGAGGTCAGATCATGGCAGATGGCCCACTGTTTGATGGCACACATCAGTGGCCTAACACGAGGATCGGACACTGACAGGAGATACAACAGCTCTGTCATCTTTATGCTGTCTCTGAATAGAGAAATGTATGTGGTTCAAAGAATTATGAAGCAGTTCTGAAATTGGTAGATAAATATTTCATAAAGGTAATGCCTGTTTTCTCAAATGATACTTACTTTTCTAAACCCTGGCATCTAGCACATTTAATATCTTTAAACTCTGGCATCTTTAACATTTACTTCTCTAAACCCTGGCATCTATAGCATTTACTTATCTAAACCCTGGCATCTATCACATTTAATTCTCTAAACCCTGGCATCTATCACATTTAATTCTCTAAACCTTGGCATCTATAGCATTTACTTCTCTAAACCCTGGCATCTATCACAATTAATTCTCGAAACAATGGCATCTATCACATTTACTTTCTTTAAACCCTGGCATCGATCACATTTACTGCTCAAAGCCCAGGCATCTATCACACTTACTTTCTTTAAACCCTGGCAGCTGTCACATTTACTTCTCTAAACCCAGGGATCTATTACATTTGCTCTCTAAACCCTGGCATCTATCACATTTACTTTCTTTAAACCCTGGCATCTGTCACATTTACTTCTCTAAACCCTGGCATCTATCACAATTAATTCTCGAAACAATGGCATCAATCACATTTACTTTCTTTAAACCCTGGCATCTGTCACATTTACTTTCTTTAAACCCTGGCATTGATCACATTTACTTTCTTTAAACCCGAGCATCTGTCACATTTACTTCTCTAAACCCTTGCATTGATCACATTTACTGCTCAAAACCCTGGCATCTATCACATTTACTTTCTTTAAACCATGGCATCTCTCACATTTAATTCTCTAAACCCTTGCATTGATCACATTTACTGCTCTAAACCCTTGCATTGATCACATTTACTTCTCTAAACCCAGGGATCTATTACATTTACTCTCTAAACCCTGGCATCTATCACAATTAATTCTCGAAACCCTGGCATCTGTCACATTTAATTCTCTTAACCCTGGCATCCATCAAATTTACTTCTTTAAACCCTGGCTTCTATCCCATTCATTTACTTCTCTAAACCCTGGCATTTTTTTTTCTAACTTGCTTTTTCTGCAATTTGACATGTTAAAATAAACCAAAAAAAAAAAAAAAAGGCAATAAATTTTGCCATTTGTTTTTTGAAGCAATCGAAGAAAGTGTTTGCGGTAAACCCAATCAGTGAAACAAATAGGTCCTTGAACAAAAACTCAATGTTAAACCCAATCAGTGAAACAAATAGGTCCTTGAACAAAGACTCAATGTTAACCCAATCAGTGAAACAACTAGGTCCTTGAACAAAGACTCAATGTTAAACCCAATCAGTGAAACAAATAGGTCCTTGAACAAAAACTCAATATTAAACCCAATCAGTGAAACAACTAGGTCCTCGAACAAAAACTCAATGTTAAACCCAATCAGTGAAACAAATAGGTCCTTGAACAAAGACTCAATGTTAACCCAATCAGTGAAACAACTAGGTCCTTGAACAAAGACTCAATGTTAAACCCAATCAGTGAAACAACTAGGTCCTTGAACAAAAACTCAATGTTAAACCCAATCAGTGAAACAACTAGGTCCTTGAACAAAAACTCAATGTTAAACCCAATCAGTGAAACAACTAGGTCCTTGAACAAAGACTCAATGTTAAACCCAATCAGTGAAACAACTAGGTCCTTGAACAAAGACTCAATGTTAAACCCAATCAGTGAAACAACTAGGTCCTTGAACAAAGACTCAATGTTAAACCCAATCAGAGAAACAACTAGGTCCTTGAACAAAGACTCAATGTTATACCCAATCAGTGAAACAACTAGGTCCTTGAACAAAGACTCAATGTTAAACCCAATCAGTGAAACAACTAGGTCCTTGAACAAAAACTCAATGTTAAACCCAATCAGTGAAACAACTAGGTCCTTGAACAAAAACTCAATGTTAAACCCAATCAGTGAAACAACTAGGTCCTTGAACAAAGACTCAATGTTAAACCCAATCAGTGAAACAACTAGGTCCTTGAACAAAAACTCAATTTTAAACCCAAAGTTTTAGGCAAATTAAAATGTAAAGATGACAACAACGCTTGACCCTTGCTTTTGCTCTCTCATCATGAATACAACAACAATGCCTCTGTCTTGTCGTGTCGACGCCTCATGACAAAAGTTTCAAACTTACATTTGGTGAATGCTGATATCACAGAGTAAGTCTACAGCTCCATGCTTGAAACGAATGATTGGAACTCTGGCACCGAGTATTTTGAACATGTTGTGCATCCGTGGACTGAGCTCCAGCAGTGCCGACACCATGGCTAATGTTCTTTGTGCCAAATGTCTATCAGATGCGAATGTCTCTGTCATAAACTTAAACTGAGAGGTTGAGTTTCCCCCTGGTGATTTGCTAGATTTGCTCTGTAAAAAAAAAAAGAAAAAAAAAAAGAATTGACGATTGATGTAATTAAATCAATTGTAAGGGATAATTTATCTGGCTAACTAGAGCAGTATAATCTAAGCCAGCATTTCCTAAACTTTTTAAGTTAGGCGGACCTATGGACAAAGTCAGAAAATGAACCAGGGTCCAGTGCCAGATTTATTAACTACATTTTCAATTTTATTGATTTTTTTTGTGATTGGCAATGTAAGGTTGGTGGACTGGTGTCTGTTGGTGGACTGGTGTCTGTTGGTGGACTGGTGTCAGTTGGTGGACTGGTGTCAGTTGGTGGACTGGTGTCAGTTGGTGGACAGGTGTCAGTTGGTGGACTGGTGTCTGTTGGTGGACTGGTGTCTGTTGGTGGACTGGTGTCTGTTGGTAGACTGGTGTCTGTTGGTAGACTGGTGTCTGCTGATGGACTGGTGTCTGTTGGCGGACTGGTGTCTGCTGGTGGACTGGTGTCAGTTGGTGGACTGGTGTCTGTTGGTGGACTGGTGTCTGTTGGTGGACTGGTGTCAGTTGGAGGACTGGTGTCTGTTGGCGGACCACCATTTTTAAATATTCTCTCTTTTTCAAACGTCTATTTATTACATTTTCGCTATCTTTACAAACATGGAGTCAGGCCAGACCACTAAGCCATCTTATATCATTGGCATCCAAACAAACTAGTAAACTAGAAACTGGTATACCAAGTTATTCCATCATTTTAGTAGTTTTGATAAAATTAATCTTGAATTAATAGACAGGACAAAAGATGATATGAACTAATCCTAGTGTCTTCTCTGACTACAAATCAATACTTCAGGCAGCTGAACATCTCACAAGAACAACAACGGTAAAATCAATGTACCAAGAACCTATGCAGTCAAGTTAACCTGACGATGGATACCAGGACACCACAATGTACCAAAAACCTATGCAGTCAAGCTAACCTGGCAATGGATACCAGGACACCACAATCTATCAAAAACTTTTGCAGTCAAGCTAACCTTACAGTGGATACCAGGACCCCACAATCTACCAAAAACCTAAGAGCATTATTTCTATGATGTAGTTTGAATCTTTCATTTATGAGCATCATTTCTATGACTTAGTTTGAACCATTCCTTTAAAATCATCATTTCTCTGACTAATTTTGAACCATTCCTTTAAAATCATCATTTCTATGACTTAGTTTGAATAATTCCTTTAAAATCATCATTTCTATGACTTAGTTTGAATAATTCCTTTAAAATCATCATTTCTATGACTTAGTTTGAATAATTCCTTTAAAATCATCATTTCTCTGACTAATTTTGAACCATTCCTTTAAAATCATCATTTCTATGACTTAGTTTGAATAATTCCTTTAAAATCATCATTTCTATGACTTAGTTTGAATAATTCCTTTAAAATCATCATTTCTATGACTTAGTTTGAATAATTCCTTTAAAATCATCATTTCTCTGACTAATTTTGAACCATTCCTTTAAAATCATCATTTCTATGACTTAGTTTGAATAATTCCTTTAAAATCATCATTTCTATGACTTAGTTTGAATAATTCCTTTAAAATCATCATTTCTATGACTTAGTTTGAATAATTCCTTTAAAATCATCATTTCTATGACTTAGTTTGAACCATTCCTTTAAAATCATAATTTCTATGACTTAGTTTGAATAATTCCTTTAAAATCATCATTTCTATGACTTAGTTTGAATAATTCCTTTAAAATCATCATTTCTATGACTAGGTTTGAAATGAATCATTAAACACTGTTTCCTAACTTCCTTTGCATGATGCCCCATAAAAGCAGTTACCCTATCCATGGCATATCCCTCTGAAAACTTGGAACGGCAAATCAACCAGGACATCCTGTTTTCACTTGAGCGTGAGTCTTCATATAACAATAAAATACATCTTTAAATGGCCGATGGTGAATAAACCTGTCAAGATCTGAACCGATTAGGAATACTCACTGATGTGTGGAGGTCACTGTTGAAACACAACATCATGTCCAGATCACTACTCCACCAGCCGAAGCCGTTCATACACGAACCATATGGCACAACTCTTGAGTCCGGCAGAATAGACTTTATAATATCTTCTATCATCATGCAAGTGAAAAACCTCAAGCGAAGGTCGCAGTCATCCAGTGACTTGCGGGCACAGAGAGCCTCCAATTCCTCATCAAACTGTCAAAAGAAGAGATGCATACAATTTTAATGTGAAAAATATTTTTTCAATATGCTTTACCTTATCTTAAAACAATTTTCAGCTTATCTTCTGTTTATTACTGTCAATACGCTGTTAGAAGGAAATAAGCGAAACAAAGGAATGTGTCTGCAAGAAGCCTCTTTCAACAAACAAACAAAAGTAAAAACAATATAGAAATAATCACTTAGCTGCAATGTAGAATCCGAGAAAACAGCAGGAGGAATGAGATAGGACAATGAACCGTTATTTTAAAAACATGACAGGTAAGCAAGTCAAGATAATGCATAAAGGTATTTATAATTAGTGAGCACATTCCAAACATATTGAATTTAAAAGGTAAAAAAAAACTTACAGTATTCATTAAAGGATAGTGATCAGATGATTTGTTCAACCAGTTTCCTTCAGACATCTTTGGAGCCGATGGAAACTTTTTCTTGCCGTGATTAACGAAGGACTTTGTGTCACATAAAATTCTGGATTTCAATGGAAACTGATTGATTTCATTGAAAAACTTTGAATTTCTCTGAAGTTTAACTAAACTGCTTTCATTGATAAATTCAACTAGGAGAAAATTCTGAGGGAATAAAAAGATTTGTTATAAATTATTCACATAATTAAATTATTCATATGATTAAATTATTCACATAATTAAATTATTCACATGATTAAATTATTCACATGATTAAATTATTCACATTATTATCTTCTACTCCTTTTTAAAACTAGCAAACATTTTAAAAAAAATTACTTGAGACCTCATTTTTACGTACTGTTGATTTTGAAAATTTAATCAGTGTTAACATTTGGCTCATAGAATAAACTATACATAAGAAATGACTGAAAAAACAGTATGCAAAGAAAACGACACAAAAGCTAGTAATGCTGAAAATATTCAATTTAATCTTACTATTAAATTTCTAATTGAATTCAAATTTGAATACAAAAAAACTCTATCAACTTACAGTACAGTACAGCAAGGAAAAGGTACACTCCTCAAAAATACAAAGATTAATTCACACACACAATTATACAATTTCTTGCATATGTTGTGAAATATAGCAAATATCTCTCTCTCGCTCTGTCTCTGCTAACAAACCTATCTGCCTGTATATAGGGATTAATAAGAACCATCTAGTAAAGAAATTCTAGAAATTGCATCATCTAATGGCATTCTTCAGAACAAATAGAATGCATTCGAATATAAACAACCTTTTCCCAACCAAGGGGGCAGGGTTGGTAAGGAGAGGACACAGCATTTAACTCTGTGACGTCAATATCAAACCCATACTAATGGACAGAAGAGGTAGTGGCTAAAAATAGCTCTATGTTTAAGTGAAAAAGTATGCCAAGCCATACGCTATACTAGAACACTCATCAGAAATAGATACTGGTACATTAGAAATAGATTCCAGTACAGTTCTTCTTCCACTGTCTAAGGTTCCAAATTTAAGAGACAGTGACAAAATAAGTGCTGACTGATGCTCCCTCCTCCATCTTTCCAAGTGTGAGCTAAGATTAGATAAGTAAGATGACAAGAGAAGTTTAGTGGCCCAAACCTAATATTTACTTCGCCATCGTTATGAATAGCAACATCTTCAAAAAATATTGCCAACCAGGTTAGATTTTAAAAACTGAGTTCCAATTTGAAATAATGTCATTCATGACAATAACTTGGCCAACAATTTATTCAACTAAAGGTAATGGAAGTGTTCTTTTTTCTTTTAAACATTGCATACCCAAACGATATTTATTTTTTTCACACTTTGGGTCAATTGATAAGAAACCGTAAAATACTGGATGACAGGATAGAAAGAAAATAATAAAGATTTTGAAGAATTCCTCAAGGAAGGCTGATATGTCTCAAGGAAGGCTGATATGTCTCAAAGAAGACTGGTATGTCTCAAGGAAGCCTGATATGTTTCAAGGAGACTGATATGTCTCGAGGAAGACTGATATTTGTCAAGAAGACTGATAGGCCTCGAGGAAGACTGATATGTCTTAAGGAAGACTGATACGTCGCAACCAAGTATGGAGTAGTGGCTAAGACTTGAGGAATAGATAACTGGTGGGTGGATAAATCAGCAGAAAACTCTCAGATACCTAAACATGTGGCAAAACTTAGCCTGGGTTGCTTGACTCTTAAATCTTAAGTGGTTCATGAGTTTCACCTTTTCCGGCATGACGAATTGAACATGGTTGATTCCACCAAACTGCGTCAGAGAATGACATGTGCTGTCAGGATCTTGAGACCTTACAATAACGCTACGTTGTGCTTCTTGGTATCTTCTGTGTAGTACTTGTTTGAAAGGGGGAGCCCTTGACGGATTCGCTGAAATGTGGAAGAAAGTGACAAATTATTAGACCTGATTTGACTTTGCATAATTATTTTAATTTAATTAGAAAAAGATGACATATTTATTCCATAGTTGGAGTTACATCTTTACCACACAGGTGACAGCAGAATGACAGTTGGGTTAATGGTTGTTTAGCCCAGTTACCTAATTAATCTTTAACTCAAGAAAAGTAAGCCAGTAAGCTTTTTGTGTAAGTTATGCATATTGTTAAGTTAGCTCTATGCCAGCTTTTGTTACATTGTAACTGCCTAAGACTCAGAACCTCATTAAACCTCACTGCATGGCAGATTGTTATTTTATTCCCTTAATTATCCACTACTGCTTTTTTTTTCTACATAGGAACAGAAATAAAAGCCAATACACTTGATGTACAACCAATAACAGCCAGGCACACCCCAGTTTAAGAAGTTGCACAGTTCAATAGTACTTTCATTGGTCAAATCTTATTTTAGAGTAGTTAAATAGAGGCAGTGATATTTTGAGGTTTTTAAGTATTAAAATGTTATCTCTCCTTTCAGATACCACTATAACGTACCCATGTCGTCGGTATAACAAAATACAAGTATATTTCGATAATTAGTTAGTAATATTTTCAATTTTATGTCAAGTGAAATAACGAATTGCAAATAAATGAATGGTTTATCAATGAGTTGATGTCATCCTGAAGTTAACATTTTCTTTTAGAAGAGCATCTCAATGACGACAACAGAAGAGCTCTCTGTATAGACAACATGTCACAGTAGATGAAAAAACGTGGCTGGTCTCATGATTTTTAAACATAGTTGCTGTTTTGGTATCGAAAGAAGAAGAAGTGATGTTACTCGAATCTTAAAAAAAATTTAGTAATAATAAAAATTAACTTTAAGCCTATTTAACTTGCATTCTATTCTATTGTATGAATATTATATTACACATGGCATGAACTATCCTGTAATGTATAGTGACAATCAAATTAAAAAGGACATTTGGTGCCCACAACAAGAACTTAAATTGAGCCCCTTTGAAGCTTAGAATCTTCCATACAAGGATGGCAGAGTAAGCAGATTAGTGTGCAGTTTTTTTTAGCTAAATTCATAGAGGTAAATAAAATTATAACCAAAAAATATATATATTTTTTTGGGTTAAAATATTCTTTGACCATGGCTTGTCGATTTTGCACCCTCTTCAAATTATGTCCATGGAACATGCTATGTTTTGCCACACCTTTGTACTTCTCTGCCTACTATTTAACTCATAGCATAGTCACACTCAAGTAGTCTGTCAGAGTCTGTATGCTCTGAGTCTGATGGGTACCTGATCTTGTGAGAACTTTCTCTCATGGGCCCCTGGCTTGTCCGGTGTCATCAAGTTCTGGTGGCCCAATGCTTTGATTTTGGTGACAGTCTACTAATCTACTGATACTGCAAGTCTACTTTGATGACACCCTAGCCTTAGTCCATACTCTTGTATTTAACTATATTCTATAAAAAGGATGCAATCAAGATCTGTCAAATTTGCAACTGTCCATTTGGTTTAACCCCACTTAGAATAAGGTGTAACACGGTTCATGTCAAAGCCATTCCCACCACTACACTACCCTACTTTTAACTTTACTAAAAATACATAACTAGTAAAGTTATGATACTAGTGAGTAAGTGCTACAGTAGTGATAGTGCCCTCTGCATCTCTCACTTTATTTCATATATGTGATGAAGCTAAAGCATTATTTTAATTTTACCTTTTGAAGTCTCATCATTTGAAACTGTATTTCGACTTTTGAGCTTTTTTAGACCAATACTGCCTTCAATCCCTTGATGACCACTGACATGACTAAGTAGATCTAATTCATCGTGCCGTGCGTTGCTCCGAGTCTTGTACACTGTAGTTTGTGTTGTCAAATCGGAAAAGTTATCAAATTCAATATCCAAGTTTTTGGAAGACTTCTTCTTTTGCTGTTTCAAAGTAAAAAATTGGAAAAGTCGTTTACTTAAAGTAAGGCAACCTAAAGTGGGTGAATGGGACCGAAATCGACATAAGCCTAAGGGCGCAGCCATTTTTATAAATATTAGTTTTTAAAAACAAGATTAAGTATTACGTCTAAATACCTAAAACTAAAACTATTCACCGTTTAGAGTTTGGATAAACCATATTATAATCTGATAAGATGCAAGTAAAACTCCAAAATTTTAAAAGACGACTATTAAAAATATGTACGCTTTTCGTCTCTCTGGCTGGGTAGCTTGGTGTCTCCATTGTAGGAAAAAGTCACAGAAAAAAGTCACATAGTTTTTCTTATTAACCATAGTTTAGTTTTAATTCCATACAAATGTCTACGATAGACTAAATATTATCAGTAATTTGAACAAAAATTCATAGGAAGAAAGGTGATATGAAGAAAATAACAAAATATGAAAATTAGACGCATTTACGCAAATACACATTCATTTATGAGTAGCCTATCACATAAATAAATGAATATATAAGTCTGAAAGTAAAAAAACAAAAACAACACCTACAAAAAAAAAAAAAAAAAAAAAAAAAAAAAAAAAAAATTTAATTTTTTTTAAAAAAAAAAAAAAAAAAAAAAAACAGAAAAAAAAAAAAAAAAAAAAAAACCCAAAAAAAAAAAAAAAAAAAAAAAAAAAAAAGAAGTAAATTTGAGTTCTTTTTATGAGATGGAAGAATAATGAGAACAGTCGGAGGAGCACGCTGGTAAATTCTGACAAGATTGGGGAACAGATGAATTTTGATCTTTTTCTGTCCAACGCCTCATTGACCACAATGATGCTTTGTCTGCATAGTGTCATCACGAAACGAGTACCACAATTCAATGTCACTCGCTTTAGTACTTACTTTAGCACTTACGTTAGTACTTACTTAGTAATTATTTTAGCAGTTACTTTAGAACTTACTTTAGCTTTACTTTAGCCTTTATTTTAGTACTTACTTTAGCACTAACTTTAGTACTTACGTCAATGCTTACCTAGGTGATTTCTTTAGTACCTACTTTTGTACTAAGACTTATTTTGGTACTTACTTTAAGACGTATTTAGTACTTACTTTAGTACTTACTTCAGTACATATTTTAGCACTTAATTTAGTACTTACGCCAGTACTTACTTAGGTACTTCCTTTAGTACCCACTTAAGTACTTATTTTAGTACTATTTGTATTTTAGTACTAAAGTAAGAACTTTAGTTCTTATTTGATTACTTACGTTAGTACTAATTTTATCACTTATTTTACTACTTACGTTAGTATTTACTTAGGTACTTTCTTAAGTACTTACTTTAGTGCTTACTATAGTACTTACTTTTGTACTTATTTTAGTACTTACTTTGATTCGACATGGAAACTCTGGTGGACAAAAACATCATTTGTTAAATTCTGCAATTTAATTTTTTTTATTCTCTAGATGCTGGGTACTGATTTTTTAAAAGGCTTCCATTGTTTTGATTTTTTTCAGAGGGCTTCCATGTAGTCATCACCAGGTGGCGCAATGTCTTGATTTTTTCAAGGGGTGCCATGTAGTCATCACTGGGTGGCGCAATGTCTTGAATTTTCTTCATAGGGGGGGGGGTGCCACCTTATAGTCATCACCGGGTGGCTTAATGTCTTCCTAAGCCACAGTTTAAATTTAAAAAAACAACAACTATTAATAGCTTGTAGGGCGATTAAAAAATAAAATAAAAACAAGTTGATGGGCCCAATAAGGCTGACCTCTTAATCTATATCAGGGGTATCAAACTCATGGCCCGCGGGCCATTTGCGCCCCGCAAGACGATATTTTGCGGCCCGATACCTGACAGCAAAGTTTAGTGTTAATGCGGCCCGCGCGTTTTCCCCATTCTCATATCTATAATGTGACCCCCCATCGACGGTTTCATTCGAATCTCACTCACAACTCTAATTCTGATTTTTTAAAAAAAATGTTTGTATAGATTTGGACTTTGATTACAATGGTAAAAACCGTTTTAAAAGCGGACTAAAAGTTTATATTTTATACATTTCATGAGAAAAACATGACCTAAGTGCAGTTTTGAGAAAAGTTTTAAAAAGTTAGGAGTGGGTAATGCACAACCATAATTGTGTAAATCGTAGCAATCTGACAGAATCAAAGAATCTCTCTTAAAATTGCTGCTGGTGTTTACGAGTGAAGTAAATCCCGAGCCTATCAGCTTGGTCACTTTCAAAATAGGGTTAGTCAAAAAGGCTTTTTCTACGTTAAAAAATAAATAAATTAAAATTCATTCTCTCCTGCAATAGCATCTTCCTTCACATCAATAATTCATAAATATGGCCCGCTCCTGCCTACTGTTTGAACACGTTTTAGCCTTCAAAGCCTTCATGGAGAAGGATAGGGGGGTTGTTCCTGTACTAACTGATCCCAATTGGCTCACGAACTTGGCTTTTCTTGACATTACACGGGAGCTGAATGTACTCAACAAGAAGTTACAAGACCAGGGGCCGCTTGTCAGAGTTGTCTATGATAATGTCAGGGCTTTCTGCATACAACTTGATTAATAAAACACGAACAAATTGTGTTGTTATGTATAACGTTTTACACAATTTCCCCGTGCGTGAACTTTGCTTGACCTTAAATTAGATTCCTAAGCAGACGCTCGCTTCATAGATGGGCGGGGCTAGTTCTTTGGATCTATCGTGTTTACCAATGAAACATGGTTAGACTGTCTCCTAGTATCTTTTCGAATGATTTCAATTTGTTCTAGAAATGTAAACAAATGCTGAGTAGCTTCTGGAAAGCAGGGCTTACGCGTCGGTAGACCCACATGTATATAAGGGAGTGACAGATACGGAGAGACGGAGATTCAGATAGATATTATTAACTTTACGAGGCGTGTATTATTCTTTGTGTATTTGTGTGCTCATATGTGTTTATTTCGCATTCATCATTATTAATTGGCACATTGTATTAACTGTGTACCGGTACAAGATCTACCATACTGTAAGTTGATGATTTGCAATTATATTTCTTTTGTTTTGTTATTGTATTATTACTAAATTAAATCTTTTTAATTGTAACTGGCAACTGTTTTTGGGTGTCGTAACTTTATTATCGTATTTCTATGGTATCTTCCTTTGTTAGGCACTGTTTGAACGAGCCATAAAATTAAAAATAAGAGATTAATTTCTCACAAGAGAAGCCAGTGCGTAACAGTGACAATATAACAATATAAGTTACGCTTTAATAATAATTATACATTATACACAAGTAGACGTCTCTGCACATGCCTTCATCAGTACAAACAAAAAACACATTTAAGTAACTATAAATTAAATTTACATAATATAAATATACACATCCCACCTAAAAAGAAAAAAAAAATAGGAGAGGGCGCTAAAACCAGACAAAAACAAAGTTTTATGGTTCTCAGAGAAACATCTGCCATTTCCCAACATGCAAAGTACTCATGAACTCGGGCACACCATTCAGTAGTAAGTATAAAGGAGCCATTGCAAAGCTACAAGAAGAATTTAATCACATGTTTGCAGACTTCAAAACACACAAAGTCACTTTTCAAATTTTTGCTGACTTTTTTCCTTTAATGTGAAAGAGTCCCCCGCCCCCCCCCCCACCACCCACCTGTGCTTCAAATGGAGCTGATTGATCTTAAGTGAAATTCTGAACTTAAGGCTAAGTTCGGGGAGGTGAATGGAAAAACATACAAGCATGGAAAATTTATGAGAGGATTGCTCTCCACCTTCCCTGAGATTTCCAGGTTCTTCAGGCGGATCATGTGCCTTTTTGTTGTTTTGGATTACCTCTCTTCGGGAAAAGTTCTTTTCCACTATGAACTTTAAAATGTCAAAATTCAGGGCCATACTTACTGATGAGCATCTTCAAGCTCTCCGGGGATCTCAGTTGCTTCCTCACTCAAGCCAAAAGTTGCTCAGCTTTGTAAGAAGAAGCGCTGCCAGGTCTCTGGCTACAAGGAGTAGGTCGAAGTAAATGAAGCCTAGTTCTTGAGAACCCTTAAGGTTTAGCAGATTGTAACAGTTGAACTTTATGGAATTTGTAATCGAATTTTTCATGGAATACTTGATACGGCCTGGTCTCACTAAGACTCTACCTCCTGCGGCCCCCGGATGATTTGAGTTTGAGATCCCTGATCTAGAAACTATAATGTTTAAAATATCTTTATATAATTTGAGCTCAGTCAGAGCTTAAGCTCAGTTAGAGTAAGAGGTCAGAAAAAGTTTGAGCTGTTAAGAGCGTAAGTGCTTTACAAGCACTTGGCCTTTCTAGCCACCAATCTCATCAGCAAACCTGCATCTGCCGTAACCTGGACTGGTCATCATAAGGGCCCTTCAATGTGACGAGATTTATTTACCTGTCACTTTGTCATGCTTCAATGACCGTTGCGTAAAGACAACGGGCCGTAGTGGACTTTAAGGGGGGGGGGGGAGGGGTGGAAGGACTCCGGCCAGTACTGTTTGTATCGAAGTATTATCTTCAAACATCCGATAACGCCGCTCTTTCTGACCCCCCCCTCCCCCCCGGTCTCCAACCCATTTTTGAGGCCACAGAAACCTAGTTTCAGAACACCTGTTCTAATGGTCCGTCCAAATAACGATATATTCAACAGACCAGCCAATCCGGTTATTATATAGGCCTAAGTTAGTTTTAGTTATTAAAAAAAAAAAAGGTTAATAAAATGTCTTGTTGTGTTGTTCATAAGTTTAGGTCTAGTCTAGTTAGATCATGAAAATGTGCTTGTGTGTATATCGAAAAGGAACTAACTTCCAACACAAATATTGAATTAAATGTTGGGAAAAATAAAACTTTACAAATATTTTTAAAATTACTAAAATTGTTGGTAATGGTGTAAGATTGACACGGTAATGGTGTAATTGACATGGTAATGATGTAACTGACATGGTAATGATGTAATTGGCACCTTACCAACATTGTTTATTTTTAAATTTTTTACGGACTGCTTCTGCTGACGCTGGGAATCAATTTGAATTTGAATTATTCAACATTTCACCGCATTTTTGGTTCATATATTTCTCTGATTAAAAAGCCCATAACTAACTATATT